GTTACTGTCCTAAGCAGCAATTTACCTTGCTGTACTATAACATTTTTGCTCCATTTCCTATTCCTGTTTCTTTCCCATCTTGAAGATACTAGCCAGCAGTATGTTTAACTGCTAAGGTTCTTCAGTTTTAACAAATGTTTGTTTTGGTTAAAATGTTGACCTGTTCTAACTTTGGACTCCCTGGTCTGGTCACGCTAGAACTTATATGCAACATCATTGTGCCTGAGTTTCTTCATGGTGATAGGACACTCTTGGCTGCCCTCCCCGATTCTCCTAAAATGGAAGTTGCAGATGTCATGGAAAAGATAAGCAGAAGTTAGGACACCAGGGAAGGAGGACCAGTGGCCACAGCAGGACTCAGTGTGGCTGCTGTCTTGGTCTTCTTCCCACTCCTCATCCCTGTAACTGGTTTGGGAGAAATGGTGTGAGGTCACTTCTTCCCGTCGGTGGATTAGAGCTCACGTTCTTTCTGGTTGTTTCTACTTACTGCTGTTGCAGATTGGACATTAACAGAAATGAATCCTGACACCAGCTAGGCTAGGTGTTAATGTCACCGGGAGGATACAGTGAGCCACAAGTCAAAGTATGTTACCTACCCTTCTCCTGAGCGATGGTGTGAACGTGAGAGGACATGCCATGGTGCTGCCTGCCATGTCTGGCTGACACTTAGCCTTCGTCTGCTTTGTGGGACTCTTCATTGTTTCTGCCTGCTACTTGTGAAGTTGTAATTGTGATTAGAGACCAAAATCTGCTTATGATGTAGCTTTATGGAGGGATAATGCCAGCTCTGGCAATATCGTCCGGTTTTCCTCAGCATGCTTGTTAGCACTGGATAGGGTTTGATAAATGAGGCCACCCTGGCTGCCAATCAGGCTGTTCTGGATAGGAGCGACTCCAGAGTCTACTGGCGGTTAGATAGACCTGTGGAATCTGTGCCTGATTTGTGTTCTTTTCCGTTGTAGCTCTGATATATGATCTCAAGGTCCCCCGCTGGGACTTCCAGACTGGGAGGCAGCTACGGACTTCTCCTCTCTATGACCGGCTGGATGCGCAGGGAGCCCGGTGGATGGAGAAACATGGGTTTGAGAGGCCAAAATACTTTGTTCCACCTGACAAGGGTGAGTTTTGTTTTTGCTTTATTCTCCATGAGAGTTAATAGAACTTAATTGTGAATGTAAAGGCTTAAATTGTGAATGTGTTCCCAGAGTAACTTACAGAACCTGTGAGGTTGTCCCAGCCCTCCTGGAGGACCGCCTTAGTAAATTCCTTCCTTTTCCCCCCACTTTTATTTTCCTATAGACCTGCTTGCCTTGGAGCAGAGCAAGACGTTCTATAAGCCAGACTGGTTTGACATCGTAGAGTCTGAAGTCAAGTGTTGTAAGGAAGCTGTGTGTGTAATTGATATGTCATCTTTCACCAAGTTTGAAATAACAGTAAGTATTTAGTGAACAGGCAAAAATTCCTGTTTTGTATTCTTCCTATTGAATGCCTCCTGTTTTTTTTATCTGTTACTTCAAAACTGATTCTGGGAACTGTTGCTGTGGCATAGCAGGTAGGGTCTTCACTTACAGTTCTGATATCCAACATGGGCTCTAGTTTGAGTCCCAGCTGTTCCAGTTTGATCCAGCTCCCTGTTTATAGCCTATGAAAGCAGCAGAGGATGGTCCAAGTCGTTGGGCCCCTGCACCCACGTGGGAGATCCAGAGAAGGCTCTGGACCAGCTAGTTCTAGCTATTTCAACTCTCTCTAATCCTGTCATTTCAAATCTTTAAAAACAAAAACTGATTTTGTAAGAAATCTGTTATTTTTAGTGTTTCTGTCTATTCTGTTATTATCTATATATACTTCTTTTTATGAGAAAGACAGAGTAAGAGAGGAGAGGAGAGATCCTCCATCTGCTGATCCACTCCTCTGATGTCTGCAACGGCCAAGGGCTAGGCTGGTCCAGTCCAAAGCTAGGAGCTTCTTCCAGTTCTCCCACGTGGATGCAGGGGTCCAAGACTTGGGTCTTTCTCTGCTGATTTCCCAGGACATTAGCAAGGAGCTGGATGGGGAAGTGGAGCTGGCACCTCTATGCGGTGGTCACTGGTGGAAATTTACTGTGTTACATGATAGTGCTGACCCATTTCTGGCTTTTAATTTAGAGAAGCCCATGTATCCTAATAATCAGTGCCAGCTTCCTTAGAGCTGCTTACACTGAAGTGGTGGCAGTTTTCTCATCCAAGGTGCGCTGTTCTCCTGTGCTTACTCTAACCCGTTTCCTGCCCTGCAGACCACCGGGGATCAGGGATTTGAAGTCCTGCAGTACCTCTTCTCCAATGACCTGGACGTGCCGGTGGGCCACATTGTGCACACTGGCATGCTCAATGAGGGTGGCGGCTATGAAAATGACTGCAGTATCGCCCGCCTCACCAAACGCAGGTGAGCTCAGGGCCCGGTCTGCTCTGTCCTCTAGTGCACCAGCTTCTCATGGCCACTTGGTGACCTAGGGTGTCTAGCGCGTTCTCCAGGGCACAGTGATGACCTTATGGACTGAGTTTCCTGAAGTCAGGTCGATCAGCAGCAGCCCTGACCCACACAAACCATGGGGAAACCCTGCCCCTCGATGCTGAAGCTACCTGCATGGGAGGACGCGTCTGTAACAGGAAGTCTAATTTGTTGGCACTCAGAGGACCCTCGGATTGTATTTTGTCCTTACGTTTTATCCTAAGATGGTGCTGCTGGTTCCCCTGAACTAAGCAGTCGTCTTCCAATATCTAGAACAGGGTTGCTGTCTATTCCTTCTTGTTGCCTAGTACTGATTATTCTGGGGGGTCTCACTTTCAGTTTCTTCATGATCTCTCCAACCGATCAGCAGGTCCATTGTTGGGCCTGGCTGAAGAAGCTCCTGCCCAAGGACAGCAGCCTGAGTGTGGAGGACGTCACCTGGAAATACACTGGTGAGCCCGGGGCCGTTTCCATGAGCATCTTAGAGGGTCATGATTAGCATCAAAGCCGTCTCCCATCATAGGAGTGTATTTGTAATACACTCACACTTTTGGATAAGTGGGTTGGTGCTTTGGTTTGTATTTCTGTTCCTTGCTGTATCCCTGAGAGCCAGCATATAGAAACCCAAATGTTTGTTGATGAATAACTCATATTTATTGTCTAGATGTTTCTTCAAATTTCCCCCCTCAACACACTTTTATGGAACACATAATTTTTAAGGATGGCTTGATTTTCCGATGATCTCTTCCTCAGCACTTCTTGGGGATCAGCCCTGCTTCCTCACTCGAGGCTTACTGAAGTCACATTGGGAGGAGGCAGAGAATAGGAACTAGGCCCAGGGCATTGACCACATGTTCACACTTGGTCTGATTACAACCTAACTGCATGGGGCCTCCAGCAGAACATAGTCCTGCACACTGGGACAGGAAAAAGCCACCCAGGCTCTCACTTGCCCAGCCAGTGGTCAGGACGGCTGACCTGGCAGCAGGGCTGTATTTGCTGGTTGGTGTGCTGCATACCCATGTCCAAGCAACAAACGGATGCTGCATGGTCTTACTGTCTGCTGGCTCAGCCATTACCTGAAATAATCTGATGGCTCTCTATCTTCCCCTTTAGCCCTCAATCTGATTGGCCCTCGAGCTGTGGATGTGCTGTCCGAGTTGTCCTATGCCCCCATGTCTCCAGACCACTTCCCAAGTCTCTTTTGCAAGGTGGGTAAACCTGTGTTTTGTTTGACTCATTGGTGTGCTCACATATATACTAAAATTGGGACGCATTTCTCATTGGAAAGACACAGGTAGTTGCCTTCCTAAATGCTCAATGTCCCAAGCCAAGAACCAGCTCTTCCCTTGCATGTGGCAGGGGCCCAACTATGTGGACCCTCCTTTGCTGCTTCCCATGCACACAGCAGAGCGCTGGACTGGCAGTAGAGAAGCCGGGACTCAACCAGTGCTCTTATACCATGCTGGCATTATACCACATTGCTTGACTTAAGGCTTTTTTTTGGAACAGCATAAATATTATTTTAGCCAAACAAATTACTACATGACAGTTAAGAATAAAACTCGTAAAATGGTGATTTTCATGAGAAGAAATGTAAATACTTCCCTTCTGACAAGCCTGCTCCCGGGCTCACCTCCCTGCTCCTGTCCTTGCAGGAGATGAGCGTGGGCTACGCGAATGGGATCCGGGTTATGAGCATGACGCACACAGGGGAGCCGGGCTTCATGCTCTACATCCCCATAGAGGTAAGCGTGCCGTCTGTGGAAAGTTGTTTATTTACATAATTGACATACTTACATGACCTACAAACAGAAACAGAAAATTCAGTGGCATTTGACCAGTTGCTGCTGGCTGATGTTTGTACTGGTTGACCTCCAAAGCAGTCACAATGGCCAGAGATCCTCCTGCAAGGGTCAGCCTGTCTACAGGGTCTAACACGACGCCCCTACTGCTCCCCTGGCTGGCTTTGGGATATGCTGGACACAACTGCTGCCCCGGGTCCTTCTTCAGAAGCTCACAGTGCGTCTTCCCTTTAAGGCATTGCTTCCACCGCAGGGCCTCAGGTACACTGACAAGAGAGGCAGGAGCCCAGAGCACACTGACCATGGCTGCGCTACATACTCACCCAGCCTGTCCATCTTTAGATGGTTTTCTAGGAAGTAGCCCTTTATGCTATGTGTGCCCCTGTTTGTCACTTGATTTATGGTAGGGTTTTTGTTTTTTCATGTCGAGTTTTACTGCCTGTCAATGCTAATAGTGTCATCTCTCAGCATTCCAGACAGAAGGACTGCATGTATAAGCCTAAACTTTCTTCTCTTCCTACATGAAGTATGCTCTGCATGTATACAATGAAGTGATGAGTGTTGGACAGAAGTATGGGATCCGGAATGCTGGGTACTATGCTCTTCGCAGTCTCCGAATTGAGAAGTTTTTTGCCTTCTGGGGTCAGGATTTAAACACCCTCACCACACCTCTGGAATGTGGACGTGAGTCCCGGGTCAAATTAGAGAAGGTAAGATGTCTAATCTGCTCCGGTTCACAGGGGAAAAGCTGACATGGCAGATCAGGGGAGGAGGGTGGCTCACGATGAAGGCCTTGCCTGTGGGAGAGACATCTGTGAACACATACCGGCTGTCTGCAGTGCTCTGCCTTCCAAAGCCCGAGAGCTTTCAGGGTCGACTCACCAGTCATCTTGCTGTTAGCTGCAGACAGAAAAAAATCCTCATTCAAGAGACTGCCAAGCTGTGGGGCGCACACTCCAGGGAAACCTCATTGACTGGTACCACCCCCAGCTGTGTTGCGCTTTGCTCTTTCCGCAACACAGTGTTGGCAGATGTTCCCTGTAGGTCAGACTACAGTGGTATTCTTTGAGCACGGGTAATATATAATTGACTTCAAAAAAGAGGAAAAATGTGAAAGGTTTGCTCAGAGATAACCACTGTAGTAGTTTCTTGTATTCTGGTCTTACCACAGAACCACAGGCACTGAGTGTTTATACACACCCCCAGACTTGCTGGGATTAAAGAAAAGCAGTTTGGAATGATCCTAGGAGCAACTCTTGAATATCTGCTTAACAGAAAATGTGCACTTATGTTAGGAATTCTCCCTTTTAACACCCTGAATGCAATTTGTCATAGAAAACTGGTGGGAGTGGGCAGGGGCGGGGGCAGGGATGTGCTGGGCAAGCAGGCAGGGCCAGCGTGTCCTCTCTCCCAGGGCATGGATTTCATCGGCCGGGACGCTCTGCTGCAGCAGAAGCAGAACGGTGTGTACAAGCGCTTCACCATGTTCATCCTGGATGACCACGACACAGATCTGGACCTGTGGCCTTGGTGGGGAGAGCCCATTTATCGGAACGGGCAGTATGTGGGCCAGACCACAAGCAGTGCCTACAGCTACACCCTGGAGCGCCACGTCTGCCTGGGCTTTGTGCATAATTATTCAGAGGACACGGGGGAGGAGCAGGTGGTGACGAGTGATTTCATCAACCGGGGAGAATACGAGATTGACATTGCAGGACACCGGTTCCAGGCCAAGGCCAAGCTCTACCCTGTGACCTCCCTCTTCACACACAAGCGGCGGAAGGATGATGTGGAGCTGAGTGACTTGCACGGGAAGTAACACAAGGGTGGCCTCACCTCCTCCTGGGGGAGCATCGCCGCCCCGCTTCACATGACCTTGGCTTCCCAACCTCGGCATCATTTTCAGCCTGACCTTTGAACCATTTTGCTTTCCATCTTCACCCTGCCGCCTTATCATTATCAGGGCTCTTCCTTCCGCCCATCTGCACGTGCAGATGCCCATGGAGGCAGGAGTCGGTGAGTCAGGCAGGCAGGACCGGGACGAGCTCCAGCTGTGGAAGTGGGTAAAGGTGACACAGAGCGGCTTGGGCTAACTGCAGGCGGGCTGCAGTGTGTGCTGCAGCCTCGGAGTAGCTGTGCCTTCCAGCCAGGCAGACTGTCCCCTGTCCCACTGTGCTATGGCCAGCACCTGAAACCTCGAGTAAGAGGACCATCATCTACCTCACTGAGGGAGAGACAGCGCAGGGATGCTGTCTGGTTTGCAGCAGAGCAAGCTGTCCACCTGGCCCTGTCTTCTCTCCAGGATCAGTGAGCTGGGCCTTGGGCAAGGGCAGTCTGCCTGTAGTTTGTCTCATTAATATCTGTAATAAAATCCTGCTTTTTGTTTCTTAGCTGAGTAACAGGCCCTAGTGCTTGAGAGGGAAATGCCGTGCTGCCTTTCTGTTGCTCGAAGCCTACTGCCTGGCTCAGAGCCCTCACCCCAGTCCTGCTGCTTCTCCAAGGGGCTGCAGCCATCCAGCCTCACCTTTCCCCTCTGTAGTGACCCAGGAGTTCCACGTACATGGGTCACTCTGGAGCTAAGAAGGGGTGTGGGGTGGAGTGGCTCCCCCTCCATGAGTAACTGAACTTGCTATGCTGACTTCCAGAGAGCTGCTGGGACCTCCAGTTAAGCCTCCGCAGCACAGCACAAATAAGCCACATGGAAATGATGGCACCGGTCCAGGAGGGGCCGAGTATGAGGGTACGTTACAAAAGGGCTCCTTTTTCTCATCTCTCTGTACTCTGAAATCGACGGGTTCCCCCAGAGTGTCCTGAATGTCACACTTCTGTTTCCATGGGATATAAACTGCTATTACAAGACACCTTCTACGTAAAGAGGAGCCCAACAGTGCAACAGCAGTGGTGAGAGGCTTCGGGGGAAGAAGAGGCCCCAGGGTCAGAGCTAACCTTCCCAAGCACCTGATGGAGACCCCAGGTTACTGGGCTCCCACACACAGCGAGGACTCCTCTCCAAAACCATTTCTGGAACTGGATCCAACCAAATTAAGCACATAAAAGCCATCTCAATAGTTTCAAATTGAGGTATACCATCCTCCCAGTGTATCGAAGAGAAGTTTCTAGATTTAGATCATCTTTTCTGTACTTACTTCTAGCTAACCTTTTTAGGAGGGACTTTGTTGATGTGACATGCTTTGCTCCTCTTGCTGGAGGAGGGGTCAGTGAGGTGCCGGGGCACTGAGGACTGCTCAGAAGCACACGTCAGGACAGACGCAGCCTGCTCCGACACTGGCCACAGCAGTGAGGACCCATCATGGGCAGTGCCAACCCCTCATGTTCTCTTAGGTCCTGATGTGAGCACCCTGCAGGTGACAGTGAGGGGACTTTCCTTGCCTGTGCAACTGCTTTGTCTCTGTTGTCACAGTAGCCTACAGGAACCAGAGGAGTGGGAAGTGGAACTTTCTAGCCCACTGATGTCTGGCCTCTTGGAAACATCATTTGTGCCAGGGGGCCCCTGGGTTCACCATGGGGAACCAGTGAGTTTGACATCTTTCCCCAGGGATCTAGGCTTTGTGAACATGTGGCCTTAGATGGCCAGTACTTACCTCCCTGACCCATCCAGCACTCCAGCTTGTGCTCTCCGTAGCCAGGGGCTCCACACTCTGTCAGGTCAGTGTTGGCAGTGTCACCATTTTTTTGAACCTGGGAACAGAAAATTACTGGCCTCAAATGAAGACCCAGGAGGTTGTACATTTTCTGCAAAGGTCTTTTTTCCCCCCACATTGTTAAAAATAACAACTTATTTTTATTGGAAAGTCAGATATACAGAGAGAAGGAAAGACAGAGAGGAAGATCTTCAGTCTGTTGATTCACTCACTCCCCAAGTGGCTGCAATGGCCGGGGCTGCACCAATTTGAAGCCAGGAGCCCGGAACCTCTTCAGTGTCTCCAATTCGGGTGCAGGGTCCCAAACTCTTGGGCCGTCCTCAGCTGCCTTCCCAGGCCACACGCAGGGAGCTGGATGGGAAGCAGGGCAGCCTGGACTAGATTTTTCCTCGTGTTCACAAGGACTTCTCAATTCTGAGCAAACTCCTCCTGCCTTCTGGTTTCTGTCAAAGGCAGACGCTGCAGAGGCAGACAGGGCGTTTCCCATACATGCGTGTGGCCCGGGTCATGTATTTGCCTTCACGAAGACCAGCACCGTGTAGGAGACAGTTTCCAGAACTTGGGTACTAACGAAGAAATGCAGTGCTTGCTTGGCTGGGGAGAGGACACCTGTGACCCTTCTCTGAGGCCACCTGACTGAACACCCAGACCACCCCTGCCTGTGGAGTCAGGTTTGGGTGGCAGCGAGTGTGTGTCCAGGCTCACTCCCGCAGGAAGGGCAGAGTCAGGCCAGCCAGCGATGGTTCACTCAGCCTGCCTCCCACACGCAGGCTGAGCACCCGGGCGGTGCTCTCACTGCGTCAAGGAGACACCACAGGCTCTCGGCGGGCCGGCAGCTTGCTGCTGCTGCTGCTCGTCCCCCAGGCCCACGAGATAGCAAAGCGCACAGTTGGGATGCAGCTCAGAGCCTCATGGCCAGACGAAGATGCCTGGACACGGGCTGCCCCCAGTGCTGCAGCCTGTGCTGCCTGTCACCACGGACCGCTCCTGCTGGTCTGTACACGGTCATCCCCAGACAGTCCTGGGAACAATCTCCAAAGTCCACACAGCAAACTTTTAAGACACCTGTTTGTGGAAATGTGAGCCATTCTAAAGATCATATAAAGGGGACTGATTTTGTTTGGGGGCTGAGGTGCACTAAATTTTAACATCCTACCTCTATAATTTCGAAATGGTAAATACAAATTATCAGAGTATTACTTAGGGGCTTGAACAGTGGCATAATCATCTAATCTTCTGCCTGCAGTGCTGGCATCTCCATATGAGTGCCGGTTCAAGTCCTACCTGCTCCACTTTCAATCTAGTTCCCTGCTGATGCAACTGGAAAAGCACTGGAGGACAGCCCAAATCATCCACGTGGGAGACACGCACACAGCTCCTGCTATTGTAGCTATTTGGGAAATGAACTAGCGGGTGGGAAGAAATCTGTCTTTCCCTCTAATTCTGCTTTTCAAATAAATTAGTCTTGGGTCTGGCATGATAGCGTAGCAGTTAAAGTCTTTGCCTTGAATGTGCTGGGATCCCATCTGGCAACTCCACTTCCCATCCAGCTCCCTGCCTGTGGCCTGGGAAAGCAGTCGAGGACGGCCCAAAGCTTTGGGACCCTGCACTCACCTGGGAGACCTGGAAGAGGTTTTGGGCTCCTGGCTTCGGATCGGCACAGTTCCAGCTGTTGTGGCCACTTGGAGAGTGAACCAGTGGATGGAAGATCTGTCTCTTCTCTCTGTAAATATGACTTTCCAATAAAAAAAAGCAATCTTGAAAGAAAAAAATCAAAATTTACAATCTGTTCAGTGGTCTTTTCCAGGGATATGGGAACTGGAAGCAGCACCACCACTTGGTGAAAAAAATACTCAGCAGGGCCTTCCACGGCCCCCGGGACTGGCATAGGAAGGGCTGGATGTCCTCAGGTAAAAAGGGCTGTGCTGTCCTGATCACCTGAGGATGCAGCCTCTCAAACTTCTGTGGGATACCCTGAGGAGCATGACCTGCGTGGCTAACTTGGGGGTGCCGTCGGTGCAGTTGGTAGGGATGGGCGTGACTCATTCCGCTTGCAGCTGTTGGTCCACCAGGGGTCAGTGTCTGAGGGAGGATGGGTTACAGCAGCCGCCAGGCAAGGAAAACAGGCTAACCACCACATATAATAAATCTTAAAAAAAAATCTTTAGGTACAAGGGCTCAACAGGCTAATCCTCCACTTTATAGCTCTGGCCTCTCATACAGGCTCCAGTTCTAGCTCTGTCTATTCTACTTCCAATCCACCTCTCTGCTTATTGCCTTGGAACACAGCAGAGGATGGTTCAAGTCCTTGGGCCCCTGCCCCCATGTGGGAGACCTGGAGGAAGCTCCTGGCTCTTGGCTTCCGATCAGCCTAGCTCTGGCCTTTGCAACCATTTGGGGAGTGAACCAGTGGACAGAATGTTTCTTTCTCTTCTTTGTAAACTTTCTCTCCTCTGTAAATTCTGCCTTTCGAGTAATAAAATCTTTAAATAAACAAAACTTACAGGGAAAGAGGGAGTAAAGAGGGAAGAGACACGCAGAGAGAAATCTAGCTATTAAAGGTTCACTCCCCAAGAAGCTTCAATGGCGAAGCAGAGCCAGGAACTTCAGCTGCGTCTCCCATGTAGATGGCAAGGACTCAAGCAACTGGGCCATCTTCCAGTGTTTTCCCAGGTGCATCATCAGGGAGCTGGCCTTGAAGTGGAGCTGCCAGGTCTGGGAACAGTGCCCGTATGTCGAGATGTCGGTCTCACAGGCAGCAGCCTCACTTGCTGTCATAACTCTTAGCCCAAGTTAAAATACATCCGATGGGTCCCATGTGATAGCGTAGCAGTTAAAGTCCTTGCCTTGAACGTGCCGGGATCCCATATGGGCACCGGTTCTAATCCCGGCAGCTCCACTTCCCATCCAGTTCCCTACTTGTGGCCTGGGAGGACAGTTGAGGATGGCCCACAGCCTTGGGACCCTGTACCCGTGTGGAAGACCCGGATAAAGGCTCCTGGCTTCGGACTGGCTCAGCTCCAGCTGTTGCAGCCACTTGGGAAGTGAATCATTGGACGGAGGATCATCTTCTCTGTCTCTCCTCCTCTATCTGCCTTTCCAACAAAAAATAAATCTTCCTTCCCCCCAAAAAAGAAAAGTGAGAATGTGGAAACAATGGTCTCACCCACTTTCCTCTAGCCCTTGACCATTTGCACCCTAATCAGCTACGTAAAAATTATCAAAAGTAAAATAAGAATATATCTGATACATTCTTGAGCAGGCACAGCAAAAGTGGAAAGAGTGACGGAGAACGAAACCCTCCACAATCTTTTTTTTTTTTTTTTTTTTGTGAGGAGAATGCCGATTTATTTGAAGTCAAGCTGCATCTTTTATAGTCTGCTTGGCCCCTCCAGGCATTTCCCAAAGCTTAAGCAACACCTAAGCTCCCCCGAGGGTATGTAAAAAGGGGAGAAGCAGGGAGGAGGGAACTTGCCAGACAAGCCGGGGGCTGAGTGCATCAGGCCAAGATTGCCCATCCTGTTACACCTTGAGAAAGAAGTTGAGCTGTGGTGTTAACCCTTGGGAGACCGGGGCCTACATGTCCCCCTTTTTTGTTTTTTAATGGACGCCTGTCTTAGGTTGTCCAGCAGTCAGTTGATGCCTTACCCGTCATGGGGAGCCCCACCCGGGGCATGTGGGATCCCTGCCTTAGGTTGGTCATCAGCTCTGCCAGATCTTACCCGTCTCTGGCTGCCCACTATGCATCATGCTCAAACATACTTGAGCTCTAGGGTTTTCCACAGCTAAAGCCGTCATAGTTTGTCAAATGATGACCTGCTCTCGGGCTTGTTGCCTGCATAGGCGGCAAAGAGGAGTAAACAGTACTGCAATCATGGCTGTAGCCATCAGCCCCATGGCCAAGATTCCGCTACATTCCTTAAACATCTCCTTAAATATCCATACTGCCAGTCTAATGCCATTTACAATAACTTCCCTTGACATGAGGGGAACTCGGGTCTTAACAATGTACAAGTATTGTTGAAAATACTAACAATCAAGAATCTCACAGAGCTAAAATGTTACATGTATACCACAAACAGTTTTAGCAGGAACCGGAGACCCCAACTACTTATCATCCCATCTGGCTCTTACATTTCCAAACAGAAATGGACCCCAAAAGTTCTTAGGGAAAGGGGCGTCGTCATCCGCTCTTAGCTTCTTCCTGCTGAGTGGGGGGTGCAGTTGGGTAGCAGCAGCAGTTGGGGGTCAGTCCATCTAGTGGTTCCTGATGGAAGGCAGAAGTCATCAGGTGTTTGATCGGAACCATTCAGCTGAACAGACTTTGTAGGTGCTGAGAAAACAGAAACAGACATGCCTCTCCAAGAGCTTGATTGTGCATCCATACATTATTTTCAAAAGGATTTAGGTTAGCAATTGACATTTATAAATATTCTCATCAGTAAGCCAATTAGGGTAGACTATATAGCTTGCCACATAAACATGTACATGTATATCAGATAACACATTATAAAACAAAACTGTTTTTGTAACAGCTACTTGAGATTTCTTGAGATTTGTGTAAGTTACCAATTGTTTAGAATTACATTTTGCTCTTAATAATCTGCATAAACCATACCTAGAGTTTACTATTAAACTTTAACAATGCCCCCCTAAAAAAATTTTTTTTTAAACAGATTGAATCAGTTGTCTGTCCTACAATTAACTTTACCAGCTGAAAGATACAATCTTTGAATTACATTCTTCTGACTTTGAGGCTGCTAGTGAGAGAGGAGTTAGAGTGGGTAGTAGGCAGTTAGGGTATTCTGGGTCCCTGAGTAAAAGAGAATTTCCCCACCATGTCTTGAACTCACTCTCCCAGGGACAGGGGTGCTATTAGCATATCAATTCCCCACCTGAAGTATCGGCCATCCCCTCTGGCCATTGTGGGAGGGCCTCAGGCTGATCTCTTTATCATTGAAAGGAGAGCAGGAAGAGGTAATACACATCTGCCTAAGGCCTGGAATGTCCTATGTCTGGCACCTCTGTGGCCTTTTG